TAGAAAAGTCATCTACCAAGACAAATGCATATTGTTTTCCTCCCAAGCTAGTAGTTCTAGTTGGCCCAAAAAGATCTAAATGGATCAATTGTAATACTCTACTAGTTGATACATCATTAATAGATTTAAAAGAAACTCGCTTTTGTTTTCCTTTAGCACATGCATCACAGATTTTATCATTATCAAATTTAAGCCTAGGCAACCCTCTTACTAAGTCTCCTTGAATTAACAATTGCAAAACACTCATACTAGCATGACCTAGTCTCCTATGCCATAACCAACTATCATGCTCATCCTTAGCAACTAGGCATAAATTAGTCATATCAATAGAATCTAAATGCACCATGTAAATGTTTCCTATTCTATGACCAATAAGCATAATCTGATTAGATGCAATGTCAATGACTTTACAACCATTAATTTCAAATAAGACATTGAATCCTTTATCGCATAATTGACTAATACTCAATAGATTATGCTTTAATCCATTCACATATAAAACATTCTTAATTTGTATGGAAGAGGTATTACCTATTGTACCAATACCTTCAATGTGACCTTTAGAATTGTCTCCAAAAGTCACTTCTCCTCCATTTTTGGCGTTAACCGGCTTTTGTCTCCGGTCATATGTCTTGAGCATCCACTATCAAGGTACCATGAATTTGAATTTGTTTCTCGTGCCTTGTAGCAATGCTCCTTTCCCTACAAACATAGATTAACTTTTGATTTTTGGTACCCAAATTCTTTTGGGTCCATATTCATTAGTTTCCAAAATCCTAGTCCCCTTAGGTATCCATTTGTGTAGGATATTTTTATCTTTAGTAGTAATGAGTTCTTTAGGAACCCACATACTTCTAACGATTTTTCCATTAGAGGTTCTTTGGGGACCTCTATGATTGTAGTTTCTAAAACTTTTTCTAACAAAGTTGGATTTTGAATTTCCACCTTTTTCAAAATGTTTTGTTCCAACTTTATCAAAAGAAGTTTTAAGATCATCAATTTTCTTTTGATGATCATCATTGATCTTTGAAAGTAAATTTTGCAAATCTAAATTTTTCTTTTCAAACTCTTCTAGTTTGATTTGCAAGTCTTTGATTTTACTTTCAAGATCATTGTTGGTTTTGGATATGTGTTTGTTTTCATTTTTCAATTTCGAAACATCATTTTTATATTTTAAAAATAATTTCTCATAATCCGAAGCCAACCCATTATATTCCTCTAATAACTCATCATAAGATAAATCATCAAAATCGAATGAGTTAGAGGTTACCTTAGAATCTTCCCCGAATGCCATCAAGCACAAGTTTGCTACTTCTTGTTCCTCTTCATCGGAACTTTCTTCATCGCTCCATGTAGCCACATGAGCCTTGTGCTTATTCTTTGATTGACCCTTTTTCTTTAATTGTAGGCAATCATATTTGACATGCCCCGGCTTTTTGCATTCATAGCAAATGATTGGGTCCTTCTCTTTTGGTTCATTTTTGAGGCCTTCGTTTCGTTTGAATTTTCTTCCTCGGTAAGGTCTCATCATTTTTCTGAACCGTTTGGCAAACAATGCCATTTCCTCGTCATCATCATCATTATTAGAATCACTCTCATCTTTTGTGGATTTGAGAGCAACTCCAATGTTTTTCTTCTTCTCCTTCTCCTTTGGTGTCTCTTCAACTTTATCAAGGCTCACCTCATCTTCAAGCATCATCTCATGAGTGAGGAGTGAACCGATAAGTTCTTCAAGAGTTAAGGATGATAGGTCCTTAGACTCAATGATTGCCGTCTTCTTTGATTGCCATGATTTTGGGAGGGAGTAGACTAACTTCCTCACAAGCTTTTCATTTGAGATGATCTCTCCATATGATTTGAGACCATTGACAATCGTTGAAAATCTATCCGTCATAGCTTTTATGTCTTCATTTGGTTTCATCCTGAAATTTTCATAGCTATGCGTTAGAATACTAATTTTTGATTTCTTTACCTCATCGGTACCTTCATGTGTGACTTGAAGCTTGTCCCATATTTCTTTGGCGGTTGTACATGATGAAACTCTTCCGTATTCATCTGGTCCAAGAGCACAAAAAATAATATGGATGGCTTTGGAATTGAGCTGGAACATTCTTGTATCTCCTTCACTCCACAACCTTGGATGAGTGAGAGGCTTGATGTATCCTTCTTCTACGGCACTCCATGCTCCCATGTCACTTGCTTGAATGAAGTACATCATTCTATTCTTCCAATAGGTATAATTAGCCCCATTGAAGAAAGGAGGCTTGTTGACGGGCATCGAATCGAGACCGGAGTCGTAATTTGAAGTGGAGGCCATTGATGACTTTGTAATCGATGTAACTCTTCCCGAATCGACTCAAGAGGCGATTAAACCTTCAAATGAGTGAGGCTCTGATACCAATTGTTAAGTTAATCGATCGACGGAATCGGCCAAGAGGGGGGTGAATTGGCAATTAAAAATTTCGTGGAAGCTTTTGCAGAAAATTGAAAGTAATTGCACAGTGATTTACAGTGGTTCGACTTTCTCAAAAAAAGTCTACGTCCACTACCTTAGCTATCCACACTAAGGATTTTCCAACAAATTCACTAATTTGTTCTTTCTTTTGAGGCCAAAGAGATAACCTTACAAAATCCCTCAAGAGTATACCCCAACTCTTGAGAACACTCTTTTTCCCAAAGAGAAGATTACAAATTTGCAAACTTACAAGAAAACCTCACAAGGTAAGATGTTTGCACAATTCTAGAACAAAGAAAAGAACACTCAAAGATAAATACAATTGAGTACAAAAGTGTTCTTGAAAGCAAATGAATATTGGATGAAAAATAGGCTTGAAATGCTCAAACTTGAGGTTTGATGCTTTCTCTTTGATTCTCTATGATTTCTTGTTGATCAAGGGCTTCAGAACTTGTTTAAATACACCTTGAATCACTTCTGAACGTTGGGGATGATTAGTGAAGATCATATAGCCGTTTAAGTGTGAAAGCAATTAATTTTTCTAGGTGGAGTGTCTCATGCATCGATGCATGATGGAGGATGCATCGGTGCATCAGTGTAAAATTCAAATATTTTGACCGTTGGAACACTTGATGCATCGGTGCACCAAGTGTGCATCGATGCATGAAATGCATTCGATGTTTGAAAAATAGCCTGGTGCATCGATGCATGGATTGTGCATCGATGCATCAAATGCATTCGATGTTTTGAAAATATTCAGAGTGCATCGATGCATAGAGAGTGCATCGGTGCATGGAAAGCATTCGATGTTCAATTAATTCATCGATGCATCGATGCATGGACTGATGCATCGGTGCATGCCTTTGAATAATTGATTTAAGGCTTGTTTTTGGTTCAAAATACTTTGTGAAAATTGTTTCAAAAATAGTTTAAGTACAAATCACAATTTTACACATTTAGTAAGGATTAAAATTGGTCTTGAAAAACTTGGAGTAATAATTTGATATTCGGTTAATTGAATCGAATATAAATTTGTAAAATCATTTGTAAAATCTTAAAATTCATTTAACTTAATTTGTTATATCGAAATATCAAAAATGTTTTCAACAAACTGGTAATTCCTTATATATGTTCAGATCGATCGAGATGGTAATTCCTTATGGACCTAAGGTGACCCTTGGGTAGGCTTCGAGGCCCCGAGAAACTTTCTTGGGTAGGCTCTCAGGCCCCAAAGCACTCCTTTGGGTAAATCATGGGACTGTATATGGTGTATGGGTGGAGGGTATTCATGTGATTTAAATAACTACATGATCATTTTTACAATATACTATTGGATCATGATTTTGATATTATAGGGTACTGCTAAATATGATTTCTACTGGGGACTGTATGGGTATGCTGGAGTATGCAGGTTCAACTCATTCAAACTGGTAATTCCTTATGAACCTAAGGAGACTCATATGTAGGCTCATAGGCCCCAAAGTACTCCCTTAGGGTGGCTCCTTTATTGTGTGCTTAGGGTAAGTCCTTATGGATGCAGTTCTGGGGAAACTGCATAAAGGTGTTCGGTTATAGGGTATTACTGTAGTTTAAAAATATTTTTTAAATTAATAATGTTTTTAAAGGATCAATATACATTACTCTGTTTTGTTGGAACACACTAGACATCCTATTTCGATCTCCTAAACTTGGTCCTCTGAATGTTTCCTCTGATATGAAATCTTCATGTCTATTACTCGAAGAAATATCAGTGGAACCGCAACTCATCCCGAAAACCTGTAGACGTTTGAATTGATAAGGAAATTTTTATGTTTGTCTATTATTTGCATGTCCTTCAGCATCATTTAGTAGTTCTGTATTACTGAGTTTCTCAAAGTTCACTATTTTACTCACAATTTCAGGTTAAAAGAATCGAACATGTGCAGCTATCGACATCAGTAAAAGAGTTCCACGGATGTTGCTTGCGGAATACAATGCATGTGATTAGAGGGCATGTAGGTTATATTCTATTTTTATATCCGAGTCTGAAACTTGTATGATTTTAATTCTGTTTGTAATATATGAATGGTTTTTTTTCTGAACTTGTATTTCAATTATAAATTGTTTTATGATTTTACTTGTTTTAACAAAAAAATTTAAAAAAAATTGGGATTTTTATTATGGGTCGCTCCGGTGGCCCTAATGTGACATCTCGGATCAGATCGGGTTACCCGCATCGGTCTGTCAGTGTTACATTATTTCTAAAATCTTAGGTTATTCTGAAGTAAAGGTTTCTGAATACTTTCCTGATACACTTGAATCTTATATGATCGATAAGCATCAATCTGAAGAAGAAAACAAATGCCACACGACCAGGTTAACTTAACACGTAACAAATAGACTCCCGTTGGATGCAAACAACTTATTTTCTATAATTTGCAACTTTTTAATCTGCTAAACTAGTAGAGCAGAATAAATTTTCCATATGAAACAAGTTGCTAATATTTCTCCCACAAAGTAGACGTGGAATATCAGTAGGCCAAGCCATGGCCGACATCTGAGATCAAGCATATGCATTTCTTTGATCTTTACGTACATAGTTCTCAGCACATCAATCGCTTCATCACTGTCCTATTAACACAGAACATTCATTACCTGCGCCATACCATCACTAGAAAAGCACAAGCATAACAACACAATTGTTTATTGTAATGTCAATCAGAACTCACACTATAATAATAAGCCAAACTCGTCTTCCTAGAATCTTCAATCGAGTAGTTTTAGTTCATGCATAACCAGTCATCCCAACAGTTGGATTCCCGCGATTCGCCTTGTGAGCCGGCATTGTGGTGGTTGCCTTGGTGAAATACATGTAGTAGTACACGTTGAGAACCATTGTTGCAACCACAAACACCGCTGCTGCAATAAAGACGCCTTTCCTCAACGTTTCGCAAGAGAAATTCTGGGCATAGATCATCCCACGATACTTGGTGTGATAAGCATTCCTTGTTGCACCAGCTATTAGGCATGCTTCTGCAACCAAGAAGGTCAACCTGCAAATGCAGGTGCACGAAAGAACTGAAATCTCGAAATATGAAGGATACACGGAAGGTAAGCCTATATATAAATTTGTATATGATCTGATATGAGCAGAAAGCATCATAGAATCCGAGCAGGAAAGGCGATTGACGAGATTAAAAAATAAATCATATTGGTCAAATGGTGGAGAAGTAATATGGCATATCATCACTCGGATTTCATTAAAACAGGAAGGCAAGGAGCGTAAACTAGGAGGGTGACCAATCGGAGATGAGGACCTCATTAAAGAATGATGGATGATGAACATGATGTGGTATGCAGACCCGAAATACTTACCATGACAAAACAAAATAGATGATAGACCAAGCTCGGTCACTACCCGGTACTAATGGTCTCCCGAAGCACATGCACTTTGTAACTCCCATCAACAGGGATTCACCTGAAAGAAGAAACAAGAAAGCACCTACTCCATAGCCGGTGGCAACATCCGAGTTGTAGACACAATATGTAGCATTTGATATGTTATCTTTAACCACTGTGCCCTGCAATGCGGTAAAGGTTAAAAGGCCATAAATTAAATCAAAGCAAATGACCCAGGCACATAAAATATCTCCAAGAAAGCAGGTAGGAAGTTGCCAATTACAATCATATCCAGCCCTCCCGCCTCACAAAATAAAACAACTACACATGTAGAAATAACCCTAAACCATAAATTTTGAACCTTGAACCTAAACAAAACTTAAAAGCCGACCAAATTTCAGACCATTTCAAATTAAACAAGGAATTCAGCTGCAGATTAAGTGTTCATCATTGTGGTATATTTTAGGTACCCATGCACTACAAATATTCCGCCTTATCAAGAAACCGCACTAGTTATTACTGTATAAAAAAGGTTGAAAGAAGCACTATACAGTAATAAACGGCAGGATAAGTGCATATACAAGCGCCTCTTCAGATCGACAGACTTATATCTGGCAGTCAATGTATCAAGAAGCATATGGTTCTTGAAGGAGATTTAGTATTGGTTTCTCAGTACAAGTATGAGCAATCAAATTGGTGTATTATTCTGTTATTCTTTCTTGTTTAAATATGTTTACAATATAGTCAACCAAAGGTCATTGACAGGGGAGGAGGGCATTAACACTTTCTATTAGAAATAATAGATCTTCAACAACATGTTCTACATGTGGAATCCTCGAATAAAGAAATAGTTGCAGAAAATCTGAGACTTCAAACATACCATCCAAGCAAAACCCAGCAAGAATTCACTCTGAAACCCCACAGATCTCTACATATCACACCTCAAAAAGCATAATTTCCTTATGAAATAAAACATCAGACAAAAAATACATAAGCACCAAGCCAAAGATGAAAAGGAGAAACAAATAGTGAAAAATGGGCTTACAACGCTTCTTCTTCTCTCAGCAGCAATGGCGAAGCCGAATGCAACCAAGCTAAGGACTACCACCAGAAGGTGGACGAGGGTTGAGCCCTTTCCTTCTCCCATCTCCGGCGGACACTGAAAGGAAGATTGAAAAGTTGGGGGCAATGCCTCGTTTATTTAGCTGCTAATATCAAGTGGGGGAATGCAAAAAGTGTGAATTGGAGCAGAAGTTCTTCAACTTGAAAACACTGTAGTAGAATTGTAGAAAGCAGTGAAAGGTATTCTTTTTTCTTCTCAAAAGTGTTAATTTTTAAACCCACGCTTATTCTCCTCGTCGTGGAAGCACGCGCCATTTAGTACCGATCTTAAACTAGAGTTCTTTCAATAGTTCTGACGTGCGGTCGGAAAATTTAAAGTTAATTTATTATGAGTTTTAATTTGATATATTATTTTAAAAATTATATAATTGATTATAAATTTTTTAATTATTGATTATGTATACATCTGACGAAACTATTTAAATTTAATTTTTTTTATGAAGAATAACATTATTTTTTTATTATTAAAATAGTTTAATGGATTCAAATTTCGAAAGAGTTTTAATTTTAAATCTTTTATCATTTGTATATTAAGACCACTTGAGTTTCGGGAAAACTTTCACGATAATGCAAGTGGGAAACTTTATTTCCCAAAATAATGTTGTAATGTGATTATTTTCCCAAATGGGGCTAATGACACAGGAAACATGCATCTCTCGGCGTCTTTAGCAAATTGCTCGACGTTTTAAGCAATTTTGCATTTGTTCGAGGGATGTCTCGGCGTTTTCAACACAAGTTTCATGCAAAATAGGATCTCTCGACGTCTTTGCAAGCAAACTTGGAGCACTCGGCGTCTTCAACACAATTTCCATGCTTGTTGGATATCTCGGCATCCTTCATGTATTTTGGCAGCCATGGAGTTTGTAGCAAAACCAGGAAACCGAAACCATGGGAATATAGGGTTGTAACAATGAGGAATGACGTTAATTATATTTAGTGTAGGGTCGGGCCCTATAAAGAAGCACTAAACAAAACAAAAGCATTACCAAAGAAAGGTGACGAGATTAGCATACATTTTATAAAAGCGAATCAATAATGCACGTAATAATGCAAAGAAAATTTTGCATGGGGGTCGGGGATGGAAATCACTACATGTATGTGAAGCAATAATGGTGTTGTTAATGCACCGAAAATGATTTATAAATAGGAGGATAGTGGTGTCTGGGAGAGTGAGTGTGAGTTCGGGGAGAAGTTAGAAAAGAATAGAAGAAAAGCTTACATGTTCGAGAGTTATTTTGGGAAAGAAGGAGAAAAATGTTTGAACAAAGGAAGAAATAAATCGAATATTTAGTAATTTTTATGTAATTTTTATAATTGTTCCATTATTTTAATTTTTAAATAGAAATTAATTAGATACTTTTTTTGATTTTAAAGAATGAACTATATTTATGCTTTTGTTATTGAGTAATAACTCGAGTATGTTAGTGGTTTGTGGTTATTAATTATTCAATAACATCCTGGTAGGTTGGTGGTTGCAGGTTATTAATTATCCATTATAATTATGAATGTAATTTATTTTGAATATCTATATTTTTACATGTAGAGAAAATGAGCAACAAAATTTTCACGATTGTCCATTACAATGGACATATGATGGAAAATGAGATCGGGGTTATATTTCAGTCTAAAACACCTATAAATATGATGTTTAAAAGGGACATCACATTTGTAGAGATGAAGGCGAGGATAGAAAGAAAAATCCGTGCTAAAGTTGATGGTTTGAGGTACAAATTTATAGTATGTCTCATTCCGGTCAGGTATGCTGCAGTACCACTTGAAGAAGATGATGATATTATAACTATGGTTGAATTACATGACTCAACAAACCTTCCAATTATTGAGTTATTTGTTGAGTTGTGTAATATATATAATGTGCTTGGGTCATCAAGAAATGCGGTTGGAACTTCATCTCAAATGGGTTTCGAGAGTCATTTTGATAACCCGACATATTGGTCGATGAGCAACTTTGTGGCGATGCAGAAAAGTGCAAATAAAGTTGGTGGAACATCTGGAGTCGCAGAGTATGACGCTGAAAACCGCTGGGAAGAAATACTTAAAGATTCTAGTGAAGATGAAGAATTGAGGAACCTCTTTTGGCTGAGGATGACGCCATGTTCGATGGTGATGAATCTGATATCAATATTGTTGAATATCCGACACCATATCAACCTACCCCTCATATGCATGAGATTGATTATAAAGCAATGAGGGCACCTGAATTCCCGGAGATGCCACATTTAACTTCAGGCTACATGATTGAATCGTCTGATAACTCTGGTGAATTATCAGTTGGGAAGCAATACAGAGGAAAAAAGAAGTTACACTATCGATTAAAGAGTATTGCATAAGAGGCCATGTAGATTGCAAAGTTGTAGAGTCCAACCAGAAAACTTTGTATGTGAAGTGTGTTAAATATGGGCCTAAGTGTAAGTGGCTGATCAGAGTGTCCAAAATGCAGAGGCAAGATGCTTGGGTCACCACAAGGTATAATGGTCCACACACATGTTTGCAAAACTCTATCGAACAAGACCACCGACTACTGGACTCTGATGTAATTTGTCAATATGTGAAGGTTTTGGTTGAACAAAATCCAAGGATCCCTTGCTCTGTGTTAGCTGCATCTATTCGAGACCAGTTCGGATAAAATGTAAAATAGAAATCCGTTTGGCATGCGAAAGAGAAGGTAAGGAGGTTGATAAATGGTGATTGGGATACATCATACAATGAGTTATCTGATTTGTTATGAGCTATGAAACAATTCATACCTGGAACCATCATGAAGTCTCAGACCATGCCTGCATACAACCGAGAAGGTCAACTTGTTCTAGGAAAGAGAATATTCCATAGACTCTTTTGGGCATTCAAGCCATGCATAGAAGGTTTTCCATTTTGCAAACGTATGGTCCAAGTAGATGGTACGTGATTATACGGTCAATACAGACATATATTATTGATAGCAGTTGCGCAGGATGGTCAACGAAATATATTCCCAATTGCATTCGCCATTGTTGAAGGAGAAACGACAGAGGCTTGGGACTTCTTTCTGACTTATCTACGTAAGTATGTCGTCCGAGAAGAAGGAGTTTCCTTGATATCCGATCGAGGAACAAGCCTTTTGGCATCAATTGAACGACCGGGAAGTTGTTGGACACATCCTCACGCATATCTCGCATATGTATCCTTTATATTGGTAAGAATTGTATTGAGAAGTTTTATAACGGCCGTATTCGTTGGGAGATAGTCAGCATGGGTAAGTTTTATTTTTAGCATTTGTACCCATTTATGTGTTTGTTTATAAATTGACTTTAACACAATATCTATTTTGAAACGGGATATAAACTACGCCAACCAAATTTTGACAAGATATTGGAGGATTTGAAGGCCATAGATGAGCGCGTTTGGAACTGGGCGTCGAAAATCGAGCAGGAGAAGTGGTCGCAAGCATACGATGGTGGTCGAAGATACGGACACATGATTGCAAACCTTGCCGAGACCATTAATTCAGTACTAAAAGGTACACGTCATCTCCCAATAGCGAGTGTGGTGAAAGAGACATATTTTAGGTTGGCTAAAGTTTGGTCTGATAAAGGCAAAGAGATCGAGTGTCTGATAAATCAAGGTAAAATCTGGGCTCCGACGATGGTAGAAACAATGGAAGAAAATGAGCGTATGGTAACCTCAATGATTGTTCATGACTTCGATCGAATTGGACATACTTTTGTTGTCATCTCATGTATACGTCGCAACGATAGAGCAGATCGAGAATCATTTACTGTTAATTTACGACAAAAATGGTGTGATTGTGGTCGCTTTCAGGCATGGAGATATCCGTGTGCTCATGCAGTCGCTGCATGTATGCATACAAGAATCAATTCATACATTTATGTTGATGAGTGCTTTCACCTACAGAGGATATTAAATACATACAACCATGAGTTCAGACTGATCCCAAATGAATCTTATTGGGAGAATCGAGATCATGATGAATGGTTGCCAAATCCACTACTTTGTAGAAGTCTGACGGGTCGACCGGAATCTACTCGTATTCATACCAGTATGGATATCCATATTAGAGAGAAAGGCCAACCGAAGAGATGTGGATTATGTAGATGTGAAGGTCATTCTAAAAAGAAATTGTCCAAACCTTCCTCGGTACAGGCCTCAACAGTAATCTTATTGTATTTAATAATAATGATTTAACTTTAATGATTTATTAATTATAAATTTAATAATGAATTATTAATTATTAATATGATAATGATTTAGTAATGATTACTACTAATGAAATTATAATAATTACTAATCATGATTTACTAATTATTATTAATTTAATGATTTAGTAATGATATGATTTAGTAATGATTAGTAATAACGTTTTATTATTAATATTTAATGATTTGATACAAATGATTTAGTAATTATTTGAAATAATGAAATTATAAAAATTACTAATAATGATTTAATAATTATTACTAATAATTATTTAATAGTAAAAAACTCAATTTAATAGTAATGATATTCGATTCAATTACTTCAATTTGATACAAATAATTCGAATAATGATTACAACTCTTGACGGTGTCGGGGTGTTGTTGAGTAATAATGTCGAGGAACATGCCAGTTTCGTTGTGGTCGTTGCACTTGTTCAGGACTTTGTTCATCATAACCAACCTGCTCATTCATCGAGGACATAGGTTTCGGTGTTGTAAATATATGCCCACCACCACTATGCTATCCCATCTGAGGACAAATGCTCGTACTTGTCATCGTAGATGTCATCTGATCAAAATCATTTGTTGTCGCAAAAATGGGAGAGAACATGAGTGATTGATGAGGAACATGTCGAGGAGTGTAGGGCGTAACACCAGAATCACCAACCACTTGACTAGATGATATTGTGTGATCAAAAGATTCTGGTGGGATATTATCCATTGCCTCTTGTTCTGCTCCACGGTGAGAAGAACTCTCAGTCCTTCTTGGTTTCTCGGATTTACCAAATTTTTTCGTATACTTTATAAATTGTCGTATTTCTCTGTTCGTTGTCAAGAACGGTTTTCCATGTTCCCAAAAATAATTCAGGTAATTTGAACTCTAGAAGTTAAATTCATCTGCTTGTATGGGAGTGAACGTTGGCAAGTATGAACCCATGTTGTTCCATTGATTGATATGGTTTCCATGCCTCACCGACCAATCCTCACCGACCCTACCCTGCCCATCTAATTTGTGGAGAGTATCATGATTCTTTGGAATGACTGGAATAGGTTGGTGGAAGCCGAACTGCCTCAACACTCTATCGAAAAATTGGAACTCCACAAATGCGAAATGGATCAATGGTATAGCAGCACACCAATATTGACAACCCTCCCAGACATGTTGCGGTACACACGACATAATTTCTCTATCATCGTACGGCCTCCAAATAAACTACAAAACAAAATTATATAGTTATTATTTAATTAAATAATTATAAAAATCAACAAAATAAATAAATAACAATATTATAATATAAACATAATAAAAAATAAATTCGCTAATTAATTTTATATATACCTCAACTTTATATTTGATGTCAATCTTAAATCTAAACTATTTCACGTTATTGTGCGCCAACCCCATTTTTTCTATTTTATGCCTCCATCTGTATATCAATCAAAATAAAATTCTGTAATTATTTTTCATTTGCAAAATATTCTTTAATTAATTTAAGATCAACTATTTTAAATCAAAGAAATTACATTCCGGCAAGAGGAAAGTCAACTAGAGTTCGACTAATCGGTGTTAACCATGGAATTCTGTACCACGCCCACAATTGTAATAACATCGTGCATCCACCGATTTCAGTCGTATATGCATCATTTACAAGTAATGGTGCCTTGCACATCTCGCGATACAAGAACGCCAATATTGTCGATCCCCAACTATACTAACGGGTTATAAAGAAGTTATTCAAAAACAAAAGATGTTATATATGGACAAGATTACTGGATTTATCCGGCATCAAGATTCTGCCTATCAACTGTAATATATATGCTCGAGTTGCATATATAATGTCTTGCTCACTACAATGAGGATCGAGCTTAAACTCATTTGCCAACCAGGATAAACTCAGTCGTGACCCTTTTGTTAAATCTTTGTGTGATACCTTCTCAAGGTAATGCTCACATATTGCAAACACGTTAAGATCAGTATTTCCCACCACTGTCATTTCATTTGTAAGAACACTGAGTTGTAAAGCCACATCCTCCAAAGTGATCGTACATTCACCACACGGAAGCTGAAAAGTATGAGTTTCTGGTCTCCACCGTTCAATTAATGCACTGATCAAACCGGTGACCAACCAAAATTCTCTTACAAAAACGACATCATAAAAATCGACTATTTTCAAATTATCGATAATACGTTGATTTGTCATCTCACTATTGATAAGTCTTGTACGAATGACTCGTTGTTCGTCATCCTGCAATTTGTTAATCCATGTAATTAGAATTAATTCACCGTTCTCAAATAAAAAAAATTATTCGATCATATTACCAGTTCTCCCAAATGACTCGAAATGTGTCGACCATCTAGCCTCAAAAGAACATTTTTTTCTGTCATGTTTCAACAAATCTAGACAAAAATAAATAAATATTACACTCAAATACAACTTAATATGTTGGAAAAAAATAAACGGAGTTCACATGGGAAACTAGAGATAACTTACGTGTTTTTCATTATAACAACCGGTTATTGTTTTATTCAAATTTTCAACAATAGTAAGGAAGTTATCTACTTTAATAAAAAAATAAACTTCAAAAATAAAACGATCAACCTTTGCAGGTTCAACTTAGATCGGTTATTACTCCATTTTCGTTTGACATATTACTTATCATTTCCACTCACATGACTTTTCAAACCTTACTTTCTAATTTAATACAATAACCTTTTCCTACTTACTATTTGGTTCTCAACATTTTCAAACTTTGCAATTTAATCTATAAACTTATAAATTCCGTCAAATTAAACCAATTAAGCATACTAATACTAATACTAAATTCCAGCATAGTATACCAAATTTTAATAATTTACATCTTAATCCTTAAATTCCTTAAAATTTTCAAAAAGGTCCCTATAACATTACAATATTCCAAAATGGTCCCTATAACATTACAATGTTCCAAAATGATCCCTATAACTTTACAATGTTCCAAAATGGTCCAAAGCTTATTTCAAAGTATGTAACAACATATAAATCAAAATTTTACATCATGACAATAATCATAAAATTACATGATTTTTTAACCATAAACTAAGAAATGAATGAATGAACCAGTGGATGAAACAGTAAACCTTTAAAAGAAGAAGAATATGGGATCTAAGGCTGTAGTTTTAAAATTACCTGAATTGTTTTTTACCACGATGTCCTCACACTTTGCTTTCTTTGCTTCTGTAATTGCAATCCCAACTCATGTGCACATTGTATTCCCTCGAGCCCTCTTATAAACAACTCGTGCATGCATTATTATAAACGACCCGCACATGCATTATTGGTGGACCTATCACATATTGCTCAAGAAGACGCTGAGAAATCCCCCAAGAAGACGCCGAGAGATCTTAGGAGAAAGCATGCATGCAAGATTCCTGCCACATGCAATTGAACAAGACGCTGAGACATCTCACATGCAATAAGAAAAAGACGCCGAGAGATCCCATTGCATGCATACCAAGATTCATGTGCCTTCTCTGCACACGTCCAGGCCCCCCAGCTTCAGCAGCAGCAGGTCCAACATGCAACAGCTGCTCATGTTTAGGCCTCCAGCTTCAGCAGCAGCAGCTCCCACATGCAGCAAAGATGAAGATGCCGAGATATCCCTTCAACAATTGCAACACACTAAAGACGCCGAGAGATCCCATGCTTTCCATTTATCCTGTAGCAAACACCCCATTTGGAGAAATAATCAAATGAGTTCATTATTTTGGGAATTAAACATTCCCACATGCATTATCTCGGTAGTTTTCCCCTTGAGTGTCACGTCTCCAGCTCTAGGGTAGAAGACGAAATACTTTAGTTCCTCTTTCAAATGCCATTTTTGGGTGGACAATATGAATTCTAATAATGCAGGTTGTTTGATTCACGGAAAAAATTATTATCAAGTAATAATTTATTATTATTAGTAGTATTTTTGAGTTAAAAATGATGAGAATATCATTACTTTTAGTTTCTTAGGTAATGAATAATTCTCATAATTTTGGAAAGATATACAATTGAAATAATAATTTTTTCATATAGATTATTCTCAATTCTTATTCTTCGTGTTTTACTCTAAATTATAAATTTAATAATAATAATATACAAAAAAATTAATTAATAAAATATTAATAAATTTGAGTAGTTAAAATTATTTAATATTTTTAATATTTAATATATTAATTATTTTATAATTTTATGAGATGAATATTGTAAAAATGTAAATATTTAAAATAATATTTAATTTTAAGTAATTAAAAAAATATATCTTATACATTAAAAAATAATGTAGTTGTCTACTCGATATCACAATATTATTTTTCATGTTATGTTATATTTTATATAAATAAATATGATAACTATTTAAAATTATAAGTTTGACATATTAATTATATGTTAAATATATTTTTTTATTTAAACTTATATAGTGTAATAATTAAAATATTTTTATAAACTTTCATTCAAATATTTATAATTTAATATTAAAGTTTTATTTGTTAAAAAATATATATAAAAGGATAATTTGGTAAAATATGCATCTAAATAATCTTATATTCCTCAAATCAAACATTATAATCTTACATTCCTAGTAAGCAAACTAAACAGAGTAATACAATATTCCCGAAGTAATATTGTATTCTGATAATTTTATTCCCAAATATAATCTTACATTCTATGAACCAAACGTACCCTAAAAAATAATCCTTTCCACTGATTCAAAACACTACTTGAAATTTTTGTAAAATTTTCTGTGCAATCGAGTCAAACGACAACTCAAAAAGGAGAGCGAAGGAGATGAATATGGTGCAATTTTTTTCATTGCTCTCAACATTGTATCAAAAACAGAGCAGATCAATTACATGATATTCATTCAGACGCTGGCTCGGATGAGGATGATGATGCAGCCCTCTTCTTGGCAAAGTATTCGTCGGCTCGAGCGAGGTTCTTCGCAGTCGATGGCTTAACCCACTTCTTTCGCCCGGCAGTACAGTGAGAGAACAACCAGGCACCAGCAGCCTCAATTTTTTCCTTTGCAGATGCTGAAAAGGCACGGGCCTTTAAGTTCAGCTTTACATTCAACTCTCCATCGCACAGAATCTAAATCAACACATTAATTAATCAATAACAATCCATATTTTATGTTAAAAGCAACATCATTTCACATGTTGGATTAATCCTCTCCCTCCTAATTAACAATTGGGATTTTGCAATGAACATATTCCACATTTCCACTTCTTGCATTGTTATTTCCATTAGTAATCAAGAAGGTTGAATCGATTTCGTTACGATTAATGCCTTCATGCATGAGAGAAAACAGAAATTTCACACCGAGAAAACAAGTTCTGTGGGGGTCATTACACTTCTCATTACTAGAGTTGTTGCAATATAAATCTGGAATCATATATACCTTTAAAGGGAGTTTCCTCTCTCTTCCTGATGGGTTGATCAAACCCTTCTCCTTTAAAGTCTCCAACTACACCTGTCTTTGTCTTGAAATCCAACAGTTTCGATGTCTTTTAAGTTCGGAATGTATTTGGGTAATCCAACATGCATACCTGAACAAAAACGAGTCAGCGATAACTTCATTGCGACAACTATATACCAAACACCTTGAAAATGTGATCTAGAGGTGCCCAAATCTTGTAAACGATATCAAACAGGAGACCCCAATTTAAATGACAGACAAACACAGGGAAAAACGGAGAAAAAACAGCTCCAGTCTACGAAGAAGCCATAACCAAAGAAAGAGAAACAAAAAATCCGCAGCCATGCAACAATGAACCATCAAAATAGAATATCTTATCCAACTATTATCAGTAGCTTCAAACACAATTGTAAAATTCCACCAATCAAACTTGAGCCTTATCAAACCGAAAGATTACCATCAAACAATCAGCAACCCGAGACTTCCAAAAACAATACAACCGACTCCTCTATGCAACCAAGTCACATGCTGGCCAAATTCACCCAGCACCTGCACGCGTTTATGCATTATATTATCTATTAGAGATAAGCTTTTAATTGTCACTACATGAGATGAAGAAAATGATTTTACTTACAAACAGCCCAGTACCAGCTTCATTACCACAAGAATTCATACATGATACAATAATTCGGTTCGGACATAGTAAAATGTGTCCTACCAAATTCTCATGAAAAAGTGTGATTAAATACCACCCAATGCTCTAATCTCTTTATACAAATCTATTCAAACTGTTAATTGCTACCATCAAATCATGGTAATACTCAAACCCGAAGTCACCATTTACAGAAGTTATATCGCATGGGAAACTATTTGATTGAATTTAGACTAATGTTGTTGCGGAAGACGGCTATCGGATAGAGCAAAATCACAATTGATAATTTGAGAAAATAAAAATGAAGATAAAAGAGACACAAAATTTACGTGAAAACCCCCTAAATAATATAGAGTAAAAACCACGGGCAACGGTAGAAGAATTTCACTATGAGAAAATAGGAATTACAACCTCTCTCGATCTACCAAGGAGAAAACAATGATAATTCTCTCTTGATAAAAAGGAGAAAACAACTATCAAGAAACTCTCTAAATTCTCTAGTATTGGAAGAAAGCTATAATGTTTTGGGATGTTTTTGAAGCTAAATGCGTTATGGTATTTATAGTTGAAGCTTAAGGACTAATCTTATAAATACCCTAAATTACAATGACTAAATCTGTTATTTACCCATTACATAAATTCAACAATTTGGTGGCCAAATTTGACCAAATTTGTCGTCCAATAATGCTTCCAAATTGTTGCCCCATTATTTCAGTCTCCCATGCTTTATTTTTCAACAATCTCCCAATTGAAGATTTAATTGGAACAATCATATCTTCACACCATTCTTTCTATCTTGTACCATTATGTTGCTTATGTCTCTGACAGGCCACAAGAGGATCGACACCATGTAAACTTATCAGCATTTATCGCATTTGTCAAGAAATCTGCTATGTTCTCTTTGGTATGGATCTTCTGCATATCTACTGTCCCTTCTTCACCTTTTCACGAATGAAATGGTACTGAACTCGTATGTGTTTTGTCATTGAATGAAATGTTGGATTCCTTACTAGATGCAATGCGCTTTGACAGTCACAAAATAAAGAGACATACTCTTGATTGTGCTCAAGCTCTTCTAATAACATCTTCAACCAAATTGTTTCTTTACTGGCTTGTGTAGTTGCTACATATTTTGTCTATGTTGTGGACGTAGCCACAACTGAGTGCAATTTTGAAACCCAGCTTACAGCTCCACCAGTAACTTTGAACAGATATCCTGTAGTAGATTTACTTTTATCCAAATCCCCTGCATAGTCAGAATCGACATATCCATTGATAAGTAAGTTTGATCCTCCGTAACATAATGCAACATTTGAGGTCCCTTTGATGTATCTCAGGATTCTCTTTACTGTATTTCAATGCTCTTTGTCTGGATTCGCCATGTACCGACTAACCACTCCCACTGCTTGTGCAATATCTGGTCTTGTGCATATCATAGCGAACATTAAACTTCTCACTGTTGATGCATACGGTACTCGAGACATCTACATCCTCTCTTCTTCATTGTTAGGACTCATACTGGAGGATAATTTGAAGTTAATAGGAAGAGGGGTAGAAATTGGCTTACAATCTTACATATTGAATCTTGACAAGATCTTCTTCAAGTAATTCTTTTGTGAAAGTCAAATATTCTTATTACTTCTGTCTCGGTAAATTTGCATCCCTAGAATCTTGTTTTCTTATCCCAAGTCCTTTATTTCAAATTCCCTAGCCAGTTGTGCCTTCAATTCTTCAATATGATATTTGTTGGGTCCTGTAACCAACATGTCATCCACATACAAAAAATAATATAAAAAAATCGTTATCACCAGACCTCTTGAAATAAGCACAAGGGTCTGCATTAAGTCTGTTGTATCCAAGGCACAAAATGAAGGAATCAAATCTCTTATACCAACACCTCGGCGCCTGCTTTAGACCGTACAGAGATTTGTTCAACCTGCAAACCAAGTTCTTATTTTCTTTTTCTTCAAAACCTTCAGGCTGGAACATGTAAATTTCTTCTTCAAGATTTCCATGAAGAAAAGTTGTTTTAACATCTAGTTGCTCTAGATAACACACATTGCCAAAACTACTCGAACTGTTGTTAGTCGAACTACAAGAGAAAATATTTCATTGAAATCAATACCTTCTTTTTGACCATATCCTTTGACCACCAGTCTTGCACGATACCTCTCCACTTGATCGTCACCATTTCGCTTGATTTTGAAGACCCATTTATTACCAATTGGCTTTCTTCCTTATGGTAGTGGCACAATGTCCCATGCATTATTTTTATGAAGGGCTTCAATTTCTTCTTGCATCGCCATCATCTATAGTGAAGCATCCGAGCTGTTTATTGCCTCTTAGAATTTTGATGGCTCACCGTCCTCTGTTAAAAGACAGTATGCAATATTTCCTTATATAACATAATTTGAGTGCCAATTCGGACGTCTTCTCACACGATCTGATTGACGAGTTGTTGGAGCTTCATAACTCTCTGGTTCTTTTCATCATGTGCTGGTTCTACTTTAGAAGAATCTCCTTCTTCAACCTCTTTTTCCACATGTATTTGTGTAGTCTCTGGCTTTTTAGCGCTATCATCGTATTCTTTTCTTTGTAGTTTATCCTCTACACAGATAACATCCCTGCTGATAATTACTTTGTGGGCAGTGGGATCCCACAAACGATACCCATTTAATCCATCAGCATACCCCAAGAATTTGCATTTCTTGGATTTTGGATCCAGCTTTGAAATTTTCTGGGAGTTGTACATCACGTACACAATACTTTCAAATACATGGAGGTTTGAATAATCAGCTGGTTTATCAGTCCACATCTCCATTGGTGTCTTTAGTTCTATTGCAGTTGATGGAGCTCGATTCACCAAATAACAGGCAGTATTGACTGCTTCTGCCCAGAATGATTTTTCTAGGCATGCATCCCTCAACATTGCTCTTCTTCTTTCTAACAAGGTTCTGTTCATTCGCTCTGTCACTCTATTTTGTTGAGGAGTGTTCGCCACTGTGAATTGTCTTTTGATACCTTTTTTCCTGCAAAAGTCATCAAATTCTTCACTTATGTATTCTCCTTCATTATCTGTTCTGAAACACTTGATCTTATTTCCAGAATCAAGTTCCACCCGCGCTTTGAAGTTTTTGAAAATTGGAAACACATCTGACTTCTTTTTAATAGGGTACACCCAACATCTCCTGGAGTAGTCATCAATAAATGAGACAAAGTATTTTGCTCTGCCTAGGGATGTAACTGGTGCTTGCCATACGTCAGAGTGAACCAATTCTAGAACATTTTTGCCTCTAGAATTTGATGTGTTGAATTTCAACTGGTGTTGCTTACTTGTTATGCAATGCTCACACAAAGTAAGTGATACTTTTGTTAAGCCTGGAAGTAGTTTTTGCACCACAAGGACTTTCATTCCTTGTTATGACATGTGTCCAAGTTTCTGATGCCATAACATTGTAGAATCAGAACTACATGAGGCAACAGAGGCTTCTGCTTCTACCAAACTCTCTCCCTTTAGTATGTACAAGTTTGCAGCTATCTTTTCGCCTTTCAGCACCACAAGCGCTCCACGAAACACCTTCATGATTCCTTTTCGTGTTTCAATCTTGCTTGCATTATTATCCAACAATCCGTAGGATAATAAATTTTTCTTCAAGCCTTTCATGTGCCGCACATCTCGAACAACTTTAATTGTTCCATCATGCATCTTTAATTTGATGGTTCCCACGCCAATGATCTCTAAGGCATGATCATTGCAACTATACACAGATCCTCCTGAGACAGGTTCATAATGATGGAACCATTCTCTTTTTGAGGTCATATGATATGTTGCTCCTGAATCAATGAGTCATATATCTGCAAATCGTTTTCTACATTCCATTGTGGTTGACGCTTCACAGCATAAAGTATCTCCATCAGCTGAAGTGTTTGCGGTATTGCCTTATGGATTGGAGTTTTTATTTAGACTCCAACAATCATTCTTCAAGTGACCCTTCTTTCCGTAGTTGTAACACTTTAAATTCTTCTTGCTCCTCGACTTCGATCTATCATATTTGTGACTGCTGCTTTGGCCACGTTCTATTGATCTCCCTCTCATCGTTGTCAACGCTTCTTCTTGTTGCAGATTTACTTGTCTATCTTCCTTGTTCTTGCGCCGATTTTCTTCTTGTAGAACAGCAGCTACAACGTCATCAAAGACTAGACTGGTGACATTACTATTTGTCAAGTTGATGATGAGTTGATTATACGAATCAGGTTGACTTTAAAGTAGAAGTTCAGCACGTTCTTGTTCTCCTATTTTACAGATTAAGGATGTAAGCTGAGAAAATAAAGTGTTCATTGTATTTAAGTGCTTCGTCACTAAAGTAGATTCTGGCATTTGAAGAGTGTACAATTTTCTCTTAAGAAAAATTTTATTATGCAGCGATGTGGCCTCGTACAGTTTGGTGAGATGATCTCATAACTCCTTAATTGTCTTCTTCTCCTCGATGTTTGACAATACTTCATCTGCTAATGCTGGATGAAAGTTTGTCATAGCATTCCCCTCCATTTCGATTCATTTGTTGTCATCTGTGAAATCCACCGGCCTTTCATTGATAGCTACTAGACAACCGTATTTCCTCATGATGATCTTCATCTTCAATTTCTACAGTGAGAAATTTCTCCCATTGAATTTTTCAATATCAAATTTCGTTGCCATAGCTTCTATTACGGATAACTCTCACTATTTCACTATCGTGAATAGTTCTCTGGAACCTTCAAAGAATGGGTAATATCTTCTTACTTTCTTATGTTGGAGTATCCACCTTTAGGTGGCAACCACAAAGACAATAAGCAAATATTCCACACTCAAATCTGGTTCAGATATCAATTGTTGCGGAAGACGGCTATCGGATAGAACAAAATCATAACTGATAATTTGAGAAAATAAAAATAAAGATAAAAGAAACACAAAATTTACGTGGAAACCCCCTAAATAATATGAGGTAAAAACCACAGGCAACGGTAGAAGAATTTCACTATGAGAAAATAGGAATTACAACCTCTCTCGATCTACCAATGAGAGAACAATAATAATTCTCTCTTGATAAAAAGGAGAAAACAACTCTCAAGAAACTCTCTAAATTCTCTAGTATTAGAAGAAAACTAGAATGCTTTAGGATGATTTTGAAGCTAAATGAGCTATGGTATTTATAGTTGAAACTTAAAGATTAATCTTATAAATACCCTAAATTACAATGACTAAATTTATCATTTATCCGTTACATAAATTCAACAATTTGATGGCCAAATTTTCCGTCTAGTAATGTTTCCAAATTGCTGCCCATTATTTCTGCCGCCGCTTTATTTTTCAACAATGCTACATGAAACTAGAAAAATTCAAGTTCAGAGTAATTTCCAAAAAAAATGCAGAGTTCCAAGGTAAGGCTAAAGCAGACAAGTTGAAGTTCATATAAACAAAGAAAGAAATAAAACAGGTTACCTCCGGCACAATTCCTCTCAATTTGGTGATACGCCTATAAAATGGTATTTGGCCTCCCTCAAATCCCTTTCTAACACCCGGACCAGACCGTGATTTCTGACCCCTCATTCCGAAACCGCAGCTGCCACCTTGCCCGGCCGATGTTCCTCTCCCCTTTCTCTCCCCTTTCTTTCTTGAACCAGGCTGAGGTCCCAGGTTGTCCAACCGGAACCTCACGTTAGAAGCTGTGACCGACACCTGGGTTTTTGCTGCTTGGTTCTACCTCTAGCTGCTTGGTCCTGATATAAATAATGTGAAATGGGTTTGGTTTTAAATTCCTCGGATTTCCCTGCAGTGAAAGAGAGAGAGAAAATTCAACAAAGTTGTCCTGTGTGGAGTATATATAGGATGAATCAAAGATACAGTGAAAGAAGAAGAACCTTGAACGAAGAGAGGGTAAAACTGCGATGGGAGGATTTGGAAAGTGAGGAAGAGCATGACTGCCATTGCAGTGAAGTAGTTGAAAATGAAAGCCAGATCATTATGATCGACGGATAAGATCTGTCAGCACTTGATTGAAAAATACAAAATCATTTACCTATATCTTTATTAAATTATTATTATGATGATGTGTACGAATCATTCATTTAACTGTATCTTTCTTAAATTATAGTTATCTTAATAACTAAATGATTCGAATTTAAATATTAGTGATTTTAGAGTATTTAAACGCTATATATATTAATAAAAAAATTGTTATTACGATGTTTCTTTTAATAATTTTATTTTAATAATAAATTAATAATATTCATATAAATATAAAATTTTTATTTTTATTTTTATTTAAATTTAATAAAAAATTATATATTTAACATACTATCAATACAATTGGTGCATAGAGAAGATTTCAATGATAGAACATACAAGAGATTTAATATATATCATTGTTGATAAAAATATATTATTAATAAAAAATTATTATCCAAATAAAAATTCTTCTAAATTATATATAAAAGTCATTTTAAGAAAAATATTATTAATAAATCAGAAGCAAGCAAATAATACTTTTCTTATAAATTAAATGCACTTATACAAAATAAATTTTTTATACAGAATTATATTTGTAAAAAAAATATTAAAAGATTAATAATAATGTAAGTTATTTTTAGTCACTCAATTTTATTCATCTTTTAATTTTGACCATTCAATTTTATTTTTATATTTCATTACTATTTTTTTAATTTTTACTCATTTTAATAACAAGATTCTAACATCCTCAATGTCGGGTTAGTGACCAAATTGTAAAGTTTCAAAACTTGGTGACTAAAGTAGAAGAATTGAATAGTTCAATGATTTACCTGGAAATATTTCTTGAAATTTGCTAGTAATTATTAAGGGAATTAAAGGGCAAAATGGTCATTTGACAAGGAAGATTTTTTTATTTCTCTTTATAAGATAAGAGAACTACGTGGGAAGGAAAGATTTCTCCAGAACTTCTTCTTCTTCCTTCTTCTTCCTTCTTCTTCCTCTCCTTCCGTATCTCCAAGCTCAAAGGTGAGTTTCTTTGTTTATGGATTAATTGTTGATTTTAAGGTTGGGTTTTGATTATTAGATGATAACTAAGCTTAAGGAAAGCTTAAGTTATCTTAAAATCAAAGTATGATGGAGTTAGGAGGGATTAAAGATTTGAGGTTCTTGGGTGAAATCTTAAAATAGAGTTCATAACTAGAGTTGGAAGTTAAATTTGACTTGTCAATGGTCTAATTAAGAAGTTAGAAGCCATAGAATTGGAATCAAAACATATTGCAAAGTTGGTTTAATTCTTGAGTTACATATAAGGAATAGAATTTTGAAGTTAAAGATGGTTTATATGGATATAAATTGGTTTAACCATGTGTATATGAGTTGAGAACATGAAAGGGGATGAAAGATGAAGCAATTGAGTTGATTTGAGTAGATTTGCGGGCTTAAAAATGAATTCTGGGCTATGTGCATCGATGCATATTCAATGTGCATCGATGCATATTCAATGTGCACCGATGCATCAAGGGTAAATCTCCAGAAATTGTTCAGTGTGTATCGATGCACAGGAAGTGCATCGATGCACCTCTTAAAAATGGAAACATCGAATGCAATTAGTGCATCGATGCATAAGGAGTGCATCGATGCACATGTTAAGGGATGCATCAGTACACTGTAGAATGCATCGATGCACTTCAAGGGAAAATTGAAATAGACATTTCTTTTGGTCTAAGAAATGATAAATTAGGGTATATCAACTAGATACTGATATGTATCAATGTATAAATATGTAGATATCGAGTACGAACAAGTCCCGGGATAACCATCAAGTTAAGATTCGATCGGAAGAAATGAAATCATAAAAGAGGATTGGAACTTAGTGAGGCCAAGGTGAGTGCATCTTATTTTATAAATTATATGGAAATTAGACTTGTGATAAGTCTATTTCCTATAGTAATAGCTCATTAAGTCTTGATTATAAGTATGTTAATAACATGAAGTGTACGTATGTTTGATTATATAAATTGATATGTTTTTGTATGTACTATGTGGTTTATGTAAAAACACTATTAAGTGTTAATGAAAGAATATAAAATAAGTTATGAAATTATAGGAATATAGAAGATAAGTCAAGTGATATATGGAAAGGGAAATAGATGTCTATGAAGAGTCATAGGAGAACAAATATAAGTTATATGATAATGAAATATAAGACTATATTAATACATGAATATGAGATAAAATAGGTAATAATAGGAAAAATATGATGAAAGTGAGATCATGAGAAGTGATAGGAACTAGGTAAACATGTGTAACAGTATATGCATAATAGAAACATGAGTTGGACAAGTACATAGTGGTATGATCCATTATGAGAATTAGGATAATAGAGCTTTTTGATTTAATGAGAGTTAAGGGACCTAAATAAGATTGAATTATATAATGAAATGGGAATTGTATATCAATCAGGAAACTTGATATAAAGGGATGATACAAATATATAAGATAAGTTATATGCTAAAGATCTATAGAGCTGTATGAAAAGGTTATAAGGAATATATGGAATTGAATTAAGTAAACAGATTAAATTAATATATAAATAAAATACTATTAAATGATATATGTTTAGAAATATGACATAATTTATGTAATCTAAAGGAATACAAAGAAACGGAACATAAGGTAGATGATAGGATATAAGCTACGTGGAAGTGTTCTAGGTGTTTCTATGTACTATATGAAGTATATATGATTATATGTGAACAAGATATGATATTTAGGTTTACATGAACATCTAAGAAATGATCTATGTGATTATATGCAATTTGGATTATGTTATATGCCATGGATCTATGTGACTACGTGAGAAATAATAGAAGATATGTGATATGCTATGAGAAAATATCCATGTGAATTGGTAATGTGAATGTATATGTGAATATAAGTAATATGAGCTACGTGCTTATGAGATATGAATATGGAACATGAGCTATGTGAAAATAAGTTAAGTAATTACATGTGCAAATGGAAATGTTATGTGAAAAGCTATGTGGCTATGTGAAGATGTGTAATGGTATAAAAGATAATACCCATGTTATGTGATATGAGAGCTAGGGGTATAGTTGGCATGCCAAGAGTCGAGGGATTATCAGTGGTCCTTCGGGACAAACAGTGGTCATTCGGGATAAATATTCAGTGCCCCTTGAGGGAATTATACGAGTTGTGGTGACAGCATAGTGCACAACCTCTATGTACTCACATATCTTTAGTTCTCACATGTGTACCATGGGCTAATAAAGAGATAATATTAATAAACTTGATATGATGATATGCTTGTTTCCTTGTGAAATGTTATGTGTGATATATGATTGTACAAATGGTAATTACATAATAAATTGATAAAATGAATCAATGATAGTGCTAAGCATGAACATGATGATATAGTAACAAGTTTTCAAGATAAATGATATGAATATAAGAGATCATAGGAATTTGAGATAAGAGATATGAATGATAATGACATACACATATGTATGTATTTGTTACCTGTAAGAGTGTATGAATTGTATGAATGATAATAGTAATCGTTATGTATGATTATTAGTTAAAGTTTGCATATATGTTTATTGTCTCACTAAGTCATAGACTTAGCGTGTGATTGTTTCACACGTAGGTTACAGAAGCGAGAAGAGAAACGAAGAAGAGCAAGACAGATCAGCATCTCCCTTACAAAATTTCAGATCAGAAAATAGATGATTTAAATGTGTTTGGATATTTCGAATATAGTTGGCATGTACTAAGTGATTGAGTTGAATATGCTCTGATCGATTTTGATTATTTTGATCAATATATGTAAATAAACCGCTTTTATTTTAATGAAAGTTTTAAATTTTCTTTGAATTTTGTCAAGAGTCAAAGTCTAAAAATTAATGTGACACCTCAGACTCGTATTCGGGTCGGGTACGGGTTGAGGGTGTTACACTAGATTGTTAACTGTTAAGTTTCAATCGAAATGGTATTTCATTGTGGCTTTTAAGTTGGTAGTCTGGTAGATGAGCTTAGGCTTTTAGTCATGGGCTTGGGCTTATGTTAATGGGTTATATATATATATATATATATATATATGAGTTTGAGCTCGAGTAATTAAAACATTTTGTTTAATAGTATAATTACATAGAACTTATTCAACATTTTGTTTAATAGTATAATTAAATAGAACTCATTCAATAATTTCAACGGTTCCTGAGTTCAAGTAGCTATGTATGTAAGGTATACATGTGTCGTCAACGATTAAAAATATTATAAATAAATATTATCTTTTAATTTATCCCAACTATTCAAAAAAAAGTATAATACATTTTTTAATAACGAGATCAGTCATTGAGTTTCACTTATAATGGACTTGAATGTAATCCTAATGCTAATTTACGACAACCGTCTCTATCATTGTAATTTATTTCACATGTTAGGGTATAATTACAAGTATAATCATTACTATACTAACATAATCAAATCAATACAAATATATATATATTAAAATTTTAAGTAAAATAAAGACAGCTAGCACGTAATATACTTTGAAATCAAAATAAAATATAATAGTTACTAGTTTCAGTTCCATGTTGGATTATTCTGACATAGTTACACCATTGAAGTAGTCAAAAGAGTATATTGTTTCTTTTTAAAGGAGTAAAGGTTTGTCTCCAGCTATTTAATTATATTAGGGAAGGATCAACTTTAATTGATTTTCAGTACTTTAAATGAACAGTGGAAGTGAATTGGATTGTACCAATTATACAGTACTTTGAATCAATGGGGAATTGGACCACACTTCCATCAATAGTCAATGTGTCCCTTTGTTTTGGTTGAATTGTGTATATATTAATATATGTTAATCTTTGTATTAGTCTGAGTGATTATAAGGTAATATTTGCTCAAAATCTTTCTTAGTCATTAACAATACATACACGCCTTGTAAACGTAACAATTTGTACCCAAGACTTCTACACAATTATTTTTTACTATTAAGATTGATTGGTGATTTCAATGTATATAAGTTAAATTACAATAAAATTTAATGTTTGTGTTTTGTTTTTAATATTATGTTATTAGATTTTTAGGGTAAATTACAAATTTGGTAACTTGACTTTACTATATCTCTTATTTCACTCACTGTACTTTAAATGTGTTCAATTTCCTCACCGAACTTAATACATTGAGTTTTTTTTGGCCACTCGACCGTTAAAATAGGTTGTTATATAAATGCAAAACGACGTCGTTTTGGTGAAAATGTTATTTTTTAAAAACGACGTCGTTTTTAATATTGTTAACAATTTAACGATGGAATGACCAAAATAGGAGAGAGTGACGTTCAGTGATAAAAAAAACCAATGTATTAAGTTTAATAAGGAAATTGAAAAGATTTAAAATATAATGAATAGTAGAGAGTAAACTTCAGTTACCAAACTTGTAACTTACCCAGATTTTTAATATGAGTAATTATTTTAATTTCAATTTAATTTAACATTACACGTAGGAAACATTACTAAAGTATCTTTGTTCTTTTTATTTTTTTAATGATTTAATTATTTCAAAGTCGCTTAAGTTATTTGGTTGGTTGTTCTCTCTAGATAATACCATAAGTTGGGTCCATTAAATAAAAGATTTATGATTTTTAACTAAGGTTGTTCATGGACGTTTAATCGTACCATTTAGCCTAAACGGTCGGTTAATCGTTATAACGGTTATGAGATTTTTCTAATCGTGGTCTAATTATTAAGAAACGGTTAACCGCTAACGGTTAACCATTATTAACGGTTCAGTTACAGATTGACCTACGGTTAACCTATTACAATTATTTGTCAAAAATTTTCATTATTCATACTACAAAAAATATATATAACTTAACACATACTTACACTGATATAAGCGAATAAAATAAAAAAGTGTAGCACTTAATGTATACTTACATCGGTGTAATTATGTACATCTTCAAATATCTTAGTACCTAACAATAAACACATAATTATATTGGTGTAAGAATATTTATACATTTTCAAAGAAATAAAAATTAAAAATGATAAATATATATATTAAATTATTTGCATACAAATTTTATTATATATATATATATATATAAATTATAAATAATAGAAAATATATTAAGTTATTTGTGTAAAAATATAATAAATTAGAAATATAATTTTAAATTTAATTTATTAACGTTAACTTTTTATCAAAACTTGTAACCATAACTTTATCCGTTAACCATTATTTTTAGCAGCTTGATTAAATCGAAACCGTTTAATATTAACGGTTCGATTAATTAACCTGTTAAATTAACGGTTATACTAATTAACGGATTCAAGTTTTTTTTAACACCCTTATTTTTAACCATATTAAGGAAAGTAAAATAAAAGATCTATGATTTTTTTTCTTGTTCATTCATTTCTTCAGATGACCTTAATTTCAGTGATTTTTACGAGGGAGGGTTTACAGAATAGAGGGAAAACATAAAGTAATATCGAGACAGAGGCATAGCAGCCTAGCTACATGCTAGAATAAGATATAAATTAATTTCTATACACGTAACAAATAAATAAGTAAATTATTCAATTTTATGAAGGACCTTGATCATCAAGCAAGGAGGTGAGTTCCATAGAATAAAACAACGTTTTGTGGGGTTCAGTCCACATCGAACTTAGATCACAGAAAACCTGTTAATGAGACCTTGATAGTAACAGTTCCTTGTTCCATGGCAAAGATAAGGGTACAATGATATCACCCAGGAAGCCCTTAAAAGCTACATAGGGAACCAATTAATCGCAAAACTTAATCAATCGACTCGTTTGATATTTTTTTTTCTTACATGCATGTTAAGGATCAATTAGTGTATGTGTTTCACGTTTAATGAGGTCCACTTGTGGAAACGAAGTTAATTGGATGGGAAGAAAAACATGGCCCTCAAACCATGGAACTAGTTTGTGTAGGAAAGACGTCTTTTTCTCTCGAACCAACGTAATTCACCAGCAACAACAAATGACTGAACGGGTTTGAATCAATTAACACAAGCACCTTTTTTTGAGTTGTGCGAGAGCCACTGTCCCTTATTGTTGTGTCAATTAGAGAAGAGAGATAAAGAGAGTGGCAGAGAAACTGATAGAGAACTTTCAATGCTCCATTTTTTCTCCGCCCTCAAAGCTTCATTCAACCAGCCTCTATAGTTCAGTCTCCAACTGAAGTCCTAATTTCCTAAAAGCTCTAGTTTTACTTCATCTTTTACTTTCTCTGTCGGTACCACCCATGTAGGTCTTATCTTCTCCTTTTCTTTTTGTTGTATGAATCCTAAGGATAAAGTGTTAAATCTTGGTGGATCGTAGAAGAAAGGCCACTTCCTTTCTTCTTCTTTCTCCGCCAAATCTCCTAATTAATTGGGTTTTGTGTGACTATGTTCTTCTTTTTTGGTTTCACAGGAGACCTGAGAAGAACCCTCTAGACCTCAACTTCTTGCCCGATGAGTACACTAGGGATGGTAAACAGGTCTCTGAGGAAGGCTCCTCCTCCGGTACTATATAATCTAAGCCTTTTTTGAAAGAAGCTTCAATTATTTTTGTTGATTTTATTTACACGACAATTTTAGGTGGATTAGGGCTGAGTTTTCATTTATATGAAGCAGGCTATAGGACAAAGAAAAACCGCGCTAAGGACGGGAAAGATGATGAGTGCGGGAAGGTTTACGAATGTAGGTTTTGTTCGCTTAAGTTCTGCAAATCTCAAGCTCTTGGGGGACACATGAACCGCCACCGCCAAGGCAAGTCATGTCAAGTTTGCTGAATTTCAAGGTCTTGTCTGCTTTTCCATGTTTGTTTGATTTGATATAATTTATGCTGTTGTTTTGGTGGTCAGAAAGAGAGACAGAGACACTGAACCGGGCTCGGCAGCTGGTCTTCGGTAACGACAACTTGACCACCACCGGGCATCTAGGGTATGCTCCTTCAAGCTACCATCCCAGTGATCCGACACAGTCGTTTATATCGGTTTGTCCACCGACATTGTTTTCTGGCTCTTCGCCGCGGTTGGTTCCACCGGCGTTACAGCCGCCGCAACCGTATGTACACCTGACTCACGATATGAACGACTACTATTTAGGTCAAGTCGTCAGAACAAACGGTTCATTGTCACATTCACAATATCATCAGCAAAGCCTAAACTATCTGGGCGCATCCGACTCTAACTATACTTGCGTTGGAACCCCGGCTGGAAACAGGTTCGGTCATGGTCTGATTCGGAGATCAGATTTGGTCGGACCAAGACCAGTAGGTGGTGCCGGTTTTAGAGACGTGACACAGCAACATTTGGATTATCCTACTACGAACCCGTTTGAAGACGGGTTCTAAAGATTGTTTCTTCCTTTATCTTCTACTTTAAAAGGATTTTTCTCATGTTAAGGTGTTGCGGGTCATGAATTTGTAAATTAAGTCTTCTTTCGCTTAATAAAATCGGTGTCAGATGTTGTTTGCGGTATGGATTGGATTTGGATCAACTGATTGAAATTTACTTGCTAGTATTTATTTATGTGAAAAATTGAAGGCTTTGGAGGATTTTGACATGGGAATTTTCTGTTTTTTCTTTATTGAAATTGTCCGAGCAAAATTCAATCATGCCTCAGGATGGTCTATTCATTCTGTAATTTATAGTTGACTATTAATGGGGTTTTATTCATGATAGTTTGATTGATTTTCTCGAATAAATATGTATAAAACACGTCAATTATTCAAGTGATAAGTATTTTAACATCATTTAAGTAAGATCTCAAATTCGATTCTTTTTATATATAGAAAATTCCTATTAATAGAATCACCTACTAAAACTAAATATACGATTTAAATTAATTCAGATTAATCAAGACGATGTGTTAAAATCAGAGTACCGAAACAATTAAAAATCCCATCTAACTCGTATAGTAATTTGTTTGCCGAAGCAAAAGCATCTGTTTAATGGACAGTAGAGAAGAGAGAGGCTAAAGGTTTTGGTTTTATGTACAGAGATTATGGCAGCTTTTTCAGCACGTGGACACTCTCAACTAGTTTGACTTTGAGCTCTAGGGACTAAATGGGGTTGTATTGTTAATCCCCATTGGACATAAAGTTGTATTTGAACTGAAAAAATATCCCATCCCTCTTTTTACATTTCGATTTCTTTAATGTTTTTTCACCCTCTCCTATTGTTCTTAATATATATTGCTAGGGTTTAGGGTCATAATTTTTCTCATCCACTAACTTCAAAATGAAGTACATAGATTCAAGTATATTTGGTGGAGAAATTTGATGAAGAAAGTGTGATAATGAGAAGGGACGGAGTTCAAAGCTGTAAATGAAATGAGTCAAATTCGAGTATTACTGAATTTGATTTAATTCAAAAACTTTTTTTAAACTTGACTCGAAAATTAGTAAACTTAAAATTGTTAAGTTTAATTCAAACTCGAAATAAAAAAATTTGAAGCTCAAATCAAGTTGAAGAAAAAAACTTTAATTTAAAATAATCTCATACTTAGTTCAATTGAAGCTTGAACTCAAACTTAAATATAAACTTTAATTACATGAAAACATATATTTCATTTAAAAAATAATTTTAAATGTTAATATCATTAAAATTTGATTTAAATAATATATTATTTTTCTTAAATTGCTGGCAAGTTTTTTTGAGTTCAGCATCAATTAGTTCACCTCAACTTGTTAAAAACTCGAATTGAGTTTGAGCTCAAATCAAATATATTTAATTCAAATATTAACTGAACTTTAACTAAATCGAACTCGAATTAGGTTACGATTTATTTTCTCTCATTTATAGTCGGGGCCACAATGGGATGTATTCATATGTATGATTGGCAGTATATCAGCAGGGCTGCATTAATATTAACTACGCAACATTTAATCAACTAAAAAGAAAAGGAAATGTATTCAGTGCTAATCAGACTTTTCGTTGATAGGATTGATTATTTTGTGTCAGGAAACTCTCAGCGAAACAGTTCAGCCACCTTCTCTCTAAGTCATTGCCCATTTTGTGCCAATAGAAACTCAACTGTTCCCTCTCTGCCCCCTTCAGTGCATAAGAATCTTGTTCACTTTCTTCTTCAAAAAATAGGAATTCGATTGTTTCCATTAAAGATCAATGGTTCCAAAGCTCGATAGAGAGAACCCTATGGCCTGCAACTAAAGGCTAAATAGCTACTCAGACACTTTAATGCCGCCAAGTTCCAAGGTTTATGAGGTTGAAGGCCAGTAATGGCATCCCAAAACTGGTTTGATCGGCTTCAAAACATAGGCCACCCTAAACCCTAGTTTATTAGCCCTACCGTGTGACTGCAAACTGTCCGCCGCCACTCCTTTACATTTCAGATAAACTAATACACGCTCATCTGCAATTGCAGCATCAAGGGAGGAGAGGAGAATTATCCATCAGGGAAAAGAAAAAGGAAAGCAACCGTAGCCTTTTAAATTAAGGTTCCGTGTGTTTCAAGTAAAGTCTTGTTTTTGGCAAATCCAATATTGTCTCAAATCCATTGTAGATGACAATTGTCTTAAACGTACGTCGGAATCATGGTTTTTGGAGCGGCTGTCGTCTTGTCCTCGAGTGTTAGGTGGTCGATACTTAAACACGGTGAAGGTTACGGAAGCGGGCGAGAAAAAGGATATAATTGTTTTGGGCACATTCTCCCACAAGATTCTGATGGGTAAAGTTAGTATCACCGTGGAAGGTAACCCACAAGAAACCCAGATAGGTATTGTAACACAATCTGAAAGCACTGCTGAGGCACTGTTGCTTTACCTCATCGATCAAAGCCCCGCATGCGGAGGATCTATGTCGACCTTTCAGCCTCGTACATTTCTCTCTCCTTTATATCTCATGTTCGCACCTGTGAGAGAAAGAGAGCCGTGGCTATAAACAAAACAGTCTATTGGTAGTGGCGGATCGAAAATTTTAAGAACGGAGATCCGAAATTTTAATATATTTTTCTTAAAATTAATAAATATGTAAAAAAATTATTTTTTCCATTTTTTCTTAATCTATTAAACTAAATTTCACATTTTTTACTAAATAAGGGATACACTTGACAGTTGGCCTCCTAGGGGACTTAGTGCCTCCACCTTGTCTATCGGTTTTGAAATTTCAAATTCTTATATTTTTTAAATATTTTCTATGGATGTTTTATCTTTGTTTCTTTAAAATTTTAAATATTCATTGAAATTAGATAGGCATGTGGGGGTTTAAATGTTTAGGGCTGAGTATTGCACTAAAAAAAGTTGGATTCAACTGTCAAAATACTGAAATAAGAGGACGCGAGTGCAAACAAGAAAAAAACATAAGAGGGGCAGAGCAAGCAGACGCCTATACTATATAGCCTACGTTAGTTCTACCATGTAACACCAGAGTTAGAATGTTTAAAGCTGCTGTACGGCTTTGTTTATTAGTTTATTTGTTTAGGCTTAAATACTCATTTGGTACTTCAACTCCACACATTTTCTTAATTTAGTACTTAAGATTTTTATTTTTTTTAGGTAAATACTTGAACTGGTTTAACAACAGACAACGGATTAAACAGAATAGCAGGTAACACCAGGCAACAATTAAGTCGGATCTCTTCACGCCATCTTTTGGCCAATGCACCAGCAAGTTGATTGCAGTTTCTTGGTAAAAGAGACATCGCCAAATGCTGCAGCTTTGTCATCTAATTCCTGAAAAATAGCAGTATAGTGCCACGGACTAAGACATACGTCGAATTTTATATTAAAAAGATGAATTTATAAATTTTAAGGAATAAAACATATTATCAACAACAAAAAAATATAAAGAAAAAAATTAAAATATATGAAAATTTAAAATTTTTAGAAGGGACGATTGTCTTCACCTATCCATTCGATCTATCCTTAATCACGGACGAGAGATCGGGTGCATCAACCAGTGTTGGATGCAAACCAAGTTCAGGGTGGGTACGTGCCCACTCTTAAATATAAATTTATTTATATTAATTATCTATTTTACTATTGATACTCACCTTAAAATTTTATTTATTCCTACTTTATACCAAAAGTTTAAATAGTTAATATATATATATACATTCGCAAAAAAATATTTTTAAATCTACCACTTACAGCAACCACTCAACGTCAAGGGTCGAATCAGACTAAAATGAAGATAAACTCGTGTTAGTTTCCTACATAAATAAGACAAGGTTCAAAAGCTATAAAAATGATACCTTATTGATGGTTTCAAAAGGTCCTCACATTCCCACCTAAAAAACTGCTATAACATAAAAACAAGACGCAGGTAAGTGGTAGAAACACAAAACAAAGATATCTTTGATAATAGGATAAACTACATGTTTAGTACTTCAACTATAACTTTTGTTCTGATTTGGTCACCTAATTTTTTTTTTCAAATTATACATAACATTTAGTTTTTGTTTTATTTCAGTCAACCGCCATTAAAAAATTAACTGCGATATTGATATGTCACCATAAGGTAATGTCATGTAATCATTAAAAATATAAAAATGTCACATCAACAGTTTTGTTAATTTATTAATGGTGGGTGATCAAAATAAAACCAAAACTCAACGTTAAGTATAATTTAAAAAATAAATAAATGAATGACCAAAACAAAACAAAAATGATAATCGAGTAACTAAACATGTAGTTTACTCTTTTAATTATTTTGTTTTGTTTTGTTTTGTTTTATTTGTAGAACTAAAAGGCTAAAGCTTTAAGCATTTGCAGGGTCTGAGACCGTGGCTGGTGAGAGGGAAAAAGGATAGAGAATTTTTCTTGGTTTAAATGTAAAATCAGTCCTCCTATTATACTTCTTGTCATTTTAGTATTTGAAATTTAGCAATTCTACATGGGATTTAGGTTATCAATTTTCTTAATTAGCGGATCCTTCTGTGCTTAATTTTCAATAATTTCAAATTTCTCAGTTAACATAACCTGTGTTGTTACAACTTCTCATTAAATCAAAGACGGGGGTTCAGCTCAATCACGTGAAATTTTGTTGTATATAAAGCAAGTCTACCAACAGCAATTTGAGTCCCAAGATTTGTCCACAACTGCAATTTGTTTTCCCCGAGCAGCAAATAGCATTTGGTTTGGACAATAAGGAAAGTCCAATATTACAAATAATACCATGGTAGAAGCATTACAAATTCCCTCAAGCACATTTCAGCATTTCCATATAGTTTATTAGTAGTAGATGCTGCTCAAGAAAATCACAATCACATGCGATTGAACAACCAACACCGGTCATCCAATCATTATGATGAAGCTCCTTCCAGTTTCAGTGAACCAAATTTCACATTCACCAGCTCAGCAGCTGCGCCTGCAGCTGCTGTTGCACGGTCTGCAGAGGCAATGGCAGCTCGAGCTCTTTCCAAGACTTCGGATGGTCGAGAATTTGTCTTTGTTTTAATCTCCCTAATTGGAGCAGCAGTAGTACCATTCTTAGCTGATGGCTCAATTTCACTGGTACTCGATTTGCTCACGTGGCTGGGAGATTGTTGGCTTTGATATGCCTGCTTAGCATTAGTAGGCGAAATAGTATTTGCCTCATTAGAAGGTGAAGAAGTAAAGGAGGCTTGTTTACTGGGAGTTTGAGATACAACAGCTTCAGCACAAACTTGCTGCGATCCAGCCTGTGAATAGCATCAAAGATCAAGTTATTCCATAAAATTAACAAAACCCTACAAGATAGAGATTGGCAATAGGAAACATGTGTACAAAACTCAGTAATGTGGAAGACGATAACTACAGAGTACAGAGTAGCTGACACATAATACAAAAGTCGAGATTTTGATGATTGGGAAACCTAAAATTTCCGTTCTGATTATCTGATTACATGTGTTCTCTGCAGTGAAGCACTGGAGGCACGCTCCCACCTGCTCTTTGATTGTCCCACTGCCACTCATTTACGGGAGAAAATCTTATACAAAAATGGGATCATCAAATATTTTACTTCTTAGGATGACATGATTGACTGGGCTAGCAACAACTGGAAAGGAAAGTCCCTCATCACAACTATTCTTAAACTTGTTTGGACTGCTAAAATCTATGTTTTGTGGGAAGAGAGCAATCGAAGAATTTTTCAAGCAAAATCAAGAACAACCGAAGATCTATTCAATTGTATCAAAGATTTCGTAGGTATTAAATTGAGGGGGAAAAATATTAATAGGTATGATAGTATTAATACTATCCTTTGTAACACTTGGGGCATTGCCTAAACCGGTCTTCTTATGTTATTAGGATATACATTTGATTCTTGTGATCGGTGATTTTTGTAGCAGTTTCTGCTTCCTTGGGTAATAAAATTTAATTATCCAAAAAAAATAATATATTGTATCCTTGAAGATAACTTTACCATTAAGATGGCACCTTTTTGTACTTTGGATGGGGTGGTTGCATGTCAAAGTGGATAGGCACAAATATGAATATAACTCCCTAAACCATTTCTGCAATTATAGGGGCATAAAACAGATCCTAGCAGCTTTTCTTTAACAGCATATAAATAAGTATTATTTCAAGAGCATGGTGTAGATGCTCAATTTATTCGGGGTCTTATTCGAAGTTGATTCGAGCTTATTATTATTAATATTAGTATAAGTGTGATATTATGTAATTTTTAGTATATATATATATGCAGTAAGTAATTAAATAATTAAACAATTAAAAATGCATTAAATATTTTATTTTTATTTTTACATGCCTACATTAAAATACAACAGGCCGAAGCCTGGTACAGAACAACCTGACTTGGATGGTTGAAGCCCAACATTGCAGCCCGTTAAGGTTTCCTGTCACCATCTCCATGCGCAACTGAGCCTCCACCGTTGGATCTGGCTTCACGATCCAACGGCTCTCAATCCTCCCATCTGTCTACCACGTTTGTCGGCCACCCACTGAAACCGAGGCCACCATTACCGTCGCCCATGCTCGCCATGACTGAGCCCATGCCCTGCAAACGCAAAAAAGAGAAACAAAACACGAGGAAGTAGAAAAAACTAAGATACTGACTAGAAATAAGGACGAGGATACCAACCATCGGGGAATGAGGGGGATATAACCAGGAAACACATCTAAAAAAAGGGGGATCGACCAGCTATCATCGAAAACCAAAATAGAGAACACGAGAGAGCTAGAAGCCATCAGTGATTACGAACGAAAAAAATAGTAAACACATCAAATCCATCAGCAACCACCCAAATCGAAAGCAAAAAATATCCATAGTAACCAGAACAGAAATACACAAAAGAAATACATCAAGCAAAGCAAAACCAGAGTCAGAGAGAGATTTTTACCTTTATTATTCGAGGAAAAACATCATCATCCTCACTGGAAGTCAAATCCCGTTGAGTCATTGAGGGTAAGAACTTCACGTCTTGAAATTACTAGTGTCGCATGAGTTAGGGTTTATTGTTAGAAGGGGTTAATCTTACGCTTTCGGGGATTATAGTTGTCTTTGTCGCAGGTTCGTAGGCTTATATGGTGTTGTTGATGTTGAGCATGGGTAGAGATCAAAACAGAGTGGGTTTCGAGGGGTTGAGTCTCGTGCTAGGGTTGGGTTTTAGGTAGATGTCTGCTTAGAGTTATCATCGGGGCTTGTGTGGCTCCTCATCGGAGCTGTTGAACTGTGGAGGCCACGGAGGACTTGGGTTTTTAGGGTTGTAAAGGGGGTTTGGTTTGAGAGAAAATGGAAAACGGTTGGAGGGGCGAGGGGTTCATCTGTTTAGGGCTAAGGAGAGAGTGAAGTTAGGGTTCCAAACTTACCCTAGGATACCATATATTAAAATGCCAAAGCGGTGTCGTTTAGATAGCCACCAAAATGACAGCTTCTTGATAGCTAAGGGGAATCCGCGTTTTGATATGGTTGGGGTAATCACGTGTGAGATCCAGTAGATTCAACATGTTATATTTTGGTCCCTAAATCGAGCTTTATTATAATGTTAATTTCGCCTCATAATTTTTAGCTTGTTTCCTTTTGGTCTAGTATTATATCATGGATATTTTAGCGTTGTTTTTACATTGTATGTGTAGTTTCAGAAATTTTTATTTTAGTCCTATGTAGCAATTTGGTTATATTATGTTTGCAGTACTTGGAAATGACATTTTATGAAAAGAGCTCACTGTTTATTTTCTTTATATTTTAGCCACTTCTTTAATTTTTCATGCATGTTTGTAGGGCTAATTTAGATTTATTTTAAATGTATGCATGTACATAGTATTCTGAGCATGTTGTTAGTATGTACATATTTAGGTGTAACGTTTAAAGCATGTTAGCGTCGTTTACATGACTTAACATAATCACATAATCGGATTAAGGGTAATACTCTTTTAATTTAAAACTGTCGGAATGGCTTCTCCTAACTTACTAGAGAGTTGTTTTGACGATTTTAAATTAAAATTGTATCCCGTCAGTAACGCCTAATTAAATTTGGATCTATCACTGTAAAATTTGGGAACGAAAGAAAAAGAAATATTCGACTATTTAAATTTTTCGAGAAAATGTCGGTAAAACTGAACTAAAGATCTGGTCTCGATATTTTTAAATGATCGAATATTCTTTATCTTTCTAATGGCTTGGTAATCCTAATTTAATTTATTTTGTTGCTTTTGAATATCATAAATATCACATTTTGTTGTTTTAAGGGATCGTAAACCAAGTTAAATTCGAATTTGTAAGTTTCATTGCAAGGACATTAATTAATCGACTAGGTATCAATTTAGGGCGATGTGGGGGTGCTAATCTTCCCCATGCGTAATCGACTCCCGAACCCAGATTTTGGTAACGTAGACCGTAAATTTTTCGTTTTAATTAAAATTAATTTTTATTTAAAATGGCAACGTTTTTTGGGTGCCCAATCACACCCTAATCAAAGATTGGTGGTGACTCCTCGAACCGTATTGTTTTTTTATCGTAAAGGAATTTTCAAATTTTCAAAACGAGAGATTTTCTAAAATCACATTGTTTTTAATTAAAAATCAATCAATTAAGAGGAAATTGAAAATAACGCGGTTTTCAAAGTCTCGCCCTACCACGTTAAAAATCGTTTCGACAGCTTGGCGACTCTGCTGGGGACTTTTTTTTAGAGAGTCAGGTCGATAGTCGATTAATTGTATTTGCAAACGAAAGTTGTAAGTTCGCTTTAATTTGGTTTTTGATCCCTTGTTTGTTTTAAATTTCTTATTTGCATTTTAGTTTGTGATTTGGGTTAACGAATAAATAGTTGTACTAACGTATGATTTCCATGTTTCAGTTTTCTGACCTTCATTTTAGTTTATTGATCATTTTGGATCGAGGCAAAGGATTATGAGTTTCCCCTTACTATCTCTATAACCATTCGATATTTATAGCCTTCTAATTGTGCTCTGTCCCGTTAGGGTGAACGCTACTCTTAAGTGAGAAAAATTACTTTTCTCCGTATGGGCTTTAGCAAGTAACCTCTAGGGTACATGTCTTATATTTACGAGTGAAACATTGAGTTTCCTCTCATGGACATAGGGAAATGTATCCTCTTGAATTGAACTCGATCCGTTTTAAGCCTATAATGGGTGAGGATCGAGGGTCTGGCAAGTCCAAGGGGGCACTAGCAAAGGACAAATCGAGGACCCTGTTAGTGATACCTAAACTCTGTTCGCCTTATGTTGTATCTCTGTCCGCAGACACGAAAGGGAAACTCATTCTAACTTTTTCCTCGAATTTATTTTTGTAAAAAGTATGAGAACTAGAAAAACATGCAGTTAGGTTTTATATTTCCGTACGAAGCATGTGAATTAGATATCATGAGGTTAGGATTTTTGTGCAACAAAGCATGTGGGTAGATACCATGTTGGGAAGGATATACTAGAGCATGATTAGGTAGATATCATGTTGGGTAGATACCATGTGAATAAGATTTAAGATGTATATATTTTCTATCTTTATATTGTTTATTTTTATTCTTCGATTATTCATTGTATATACTAACACTTTTTATTTTTGTTCGTGTTTCTGTGTTTTATTTATTATTTCTGCATTGCATTATCATTCATCAAGAAAGGTGTTGGTTCGCGACGTGGTCATCAAAGTAGAAGGTAGTCATAAAATAGACAAGAGCTTTCATAACAAGGAAATAAAGAACGCAGAAATGAGGTCATGGTCCGAGGAAACTCAGAGGAAGAAAGGCGATAGTCTAACTGAAGACTATATATCGGTACTGCTAGAGGTTGCTCCAGTCAGTCTAAAGCAAAACGATCTACAAGAGTTACGTGAAATTTTGGAGGATTTGAAATTAAAAAGACAACATCGAGAGATTGTGCTCCAAGGCAAACAAGATGAAGTGTTCCTCTGGATACAAAGATGCAGAGAAAAGAATGAGCTGATAGAGGTACTCAATCAAGAGATGCAGGAAATGGAAGCAAGGCATGAGGAAGAGTTAGCTCGGGCCAAGGCAAAGAATGAAGAGTACAATGCCTATATTGTACAGCTTGAAAGTTCCTTATTTGCAGAAAGTAGTCAGTGCTACCCAACAGATCTAAGGGTTAGTCTCGAGGAGAACGTTACTTTGTAAAAAAAGATTCATGATTTAGAGGTTGCCTTACGAAGCTGCCAGACACAAATCGCTGGTCTTGAGTGCATCGTCCAAGGTACCAGGCAGCAATGGCAGAACTCAAACGATCGCTTTGAAGACTGTAGAACAAGTATGAATCACGTAATCAATGAAACCATGAATCAATTGAGTGGTGTAGCGAGGCAATTGAGAAAGATAAACATCCAAGCAAGATTCATCCAGAGCTACACAAATCCAGCATCAGATGTGGAAAAGAGGGTTGATTGGCTTGTCAATAAGATAATGGAGTTAAGCATTAGAGCTAGGCCTTTTCTGTAATGGATTTTTCTTGTAAAGATGATACTTTTGTCCTAAATGAAAGTTGT